TCTCTTTAATATGTACTAGCATTTTTTTCCTAGTGCGATGCACGAGATATTATTTCAAAAGTAAAAAAAAAAATAATCAATTTAATACATAATAAGAAAATATAGTACACTAACATAGTAAAATTTAATAATATAATCATATGTTATAGGGGAAAGTACAGTTTGCACCCCTAAATTAAAGGGTATGTCCCAAATACCTCCCTAAACTACGAAACGTACCAAAAAGACCCCTATTTTTTATGGTCAACGTCAAATGAACTAACACCGTCAGTTATAATGTGAATTTACTTATTTGGCCACCAATCTTGCCCTTCTCTCCTCTTTCTCTCTATGTTCCTCAACTTCTCGCCATTTTTAACCGGAGTTCTCTCCTCTCATCTCATTCTTCTCCAATCTTACCTTTAAATCCCAACTTCATATGTGTTGGCCATTTTCGAAAAATGGTTCATAGCTATTTCATTGTCAACCAACAAATCCCAAGTACTGCTCATAAAATCAACGTCTCATATGCTAATAATCCTCAAAAGTCGGCCAAAATTGCATATCTTCGCTCTCGTTTGAAGAGCACCCGCCGCCACCGGGAATAGAATTGGAGGAAGATGAAGATATATGAGGGGTTGGGGTCGATGAATTTTCATCGGGGGAGCAGAATTAATGGGGTTCAATCACAGGAATTTTGTCCATGTAGTTAGTGGTGGAATCAAATGGGCTCTCGATTTTCTGTTCCGCTGACTCGCGAATAATGGTTGAGTGGCTCCACCTTATCCTCCATTATCTTTGGTTCCACCACCGCTTCCGGTGGTGGTTCGTCGGCGGTGGTGGTGGCAGAGCCTTGTGGGTAAGAGGATCGATTCCCAATTTCGTTAGCTGCTTCTTCATGAGGAGGAATCTTCTTCTTCAAGAGAGAGTGTTGAGAGCAATATAGATTTTTCCATTTTTCTTTAAAAAATAATTTATTTGTATTTAATAAAAAAAACAAATTTGTATTTTGACTGTTTAATAATTAATAATTTAAATATTATTGAATACTTAGTAAGTAACAACGAAAATATTTGTAACATTTAATAACAAATATAAGAGTAATTATTTATATTTAACATATATGCAAGGGTAAAAGCGTCAGAAAAAGTGGAACAATATAAAAATGAGATATAAATGAGAAAGTCAACTTGCCACATCATCACCCAATAGATTCAAAACAGAAGGGCTAATTTGTTGTGTTTTGTAGTTTAATGGGGTGTTTGTGACAGACCCCATAGTTCAGGGGTGCAAGCTGTAGTTTCCCCTATTTTATATAACATTAGTTTTTTTCAATCTTACATATTAAGATTTATAATCCATATAAACAGATTATGATTTAGCAAATCGAGTTTCTATCTTTATCTTTTAAGATTTGAGATATATTGGTGAAAAATAAGAGATTAATAATTGTTGAAAATTATATAGTTAGAAAATTAGTAGAGAAAAAATATTAAAAATAAATAATTAAAGAGGAGTAGAATTCTTCACGGGTTAGTTTCAATCTCGATAATTGTTAAAAATAATAGTTAGAAATAAGTAGAGAAAAATATTAAAAATAAATAATTACAGAAATACCATTAGTGTTTGTTAGGGTTGTCCAGCGTTTTTTTTTTTTATATATAAGATTATAAATAGAGGAAACATTTATGTATTTGACAATATTACCCCCAACCCTTTATATCAAATTCTTAATTGTCACCTCATTTAATCAATTTTGTCCACAAAAATCCAATTTTGACCACAAAAATCCAATTTTGACTTTTTTTTCTGCCGCCGGATTCCGGCGTTGATTTTTTTTAGTGTTTTTTATTTTATTATTTATTTTTTTGTCCGCCGCTAAACGTTGACCGTAATTGTGCTGTCACTGCCAATAAATTAACGTAATTATACTGTCAATGACAGTTAATTAACGTAATTGTACTGCCGTTGACAATACATTTATGTAATTGTTCTGCCGTTGACTGTAAATTAACGTAATATTGTTATTTTTTATTTTTTTGTCATTTTTGTTATTTTGTTTGATTCGTTGACAAGTCAACGTAATTATATTACTGTCGTAGACAGTACAATAACTGTAAACACAATAATATTACTGTCAACAATATCAACATTATTTTTTTTTTGGTTTTTTGTTTTGTTTGAGTTATTCACGGAGTAACGTAATAATATTACTGTCTATTATTGTAATATTACTGTAAACACAATAATATTACTGTGGTTGACGGTAATATTACTGTTGTTATAGTAATATTGTTGTCAACCACATCAATATTATTATTGTGTATGGATTTTTTTGTTTGTTTGAGTTATTCACGGAGTAACCTAATAATGTTACTGTTTATTATTGTAATATTACTGTGGTTGACGGTAATATTACTGTTGTTATAGTAATATTACTGTCACTCACAGTAATATTAATTTTTTCCGCTTTTTATTATATTTATATTTGTTGAACGGTCAACATAGTAATATTACTCTATTACACAATAATAATGAGTTTTGTTGTGTTAATATTGTTGTGCTAGAGATTAAGATAGCAATATTACTGTGTTAAACTGTAGTTTAGTTAATTTTACTGTGTTTAACAATAATATAGTTAATGTTACTGTTTAAACGAAAAAAAATGTTATAGAAAGAAAAAAAAAAATCGAAAAAGTCAACGCCGGAGACCGGCCCCTGTCAACGCCGTAAACCAGTGGTTGAAAAATCAAGAGAAAAAAAAAATCAACGCCGGAGACTGGCGGTCAACGGAGGATTGTTATAATTTTACGAACAAGAGGGGTTATTTGTGATTCAACATAATTTAAGAGGTTATAATTCGTAATCTATTATGCTAAATTCATAGTTTAGGCATATTCTAAGGTTGTTTTGTCGAACCATTGTGTTATATAGATTCATGAATCGAGAAGAAAGTTTACAATAAGAAGAAATTGAGTAAACAAACAAGGGGTTGTCTAGGGACTGAAAGGGTTTGTACTAGTCAGATCCCATAAAAAAAAAGTACCATACCTATTTTATAAGTGAAATTGCATAAAAATCCCTATAACTAAAACTTAAGTAACAATTGATAATGATTAATCATTAAGATGTTTACAACTTAATTTTCAATATTGCATCTTCTCTGATTTCTACCATCAACGGTAAACCCTAACATATTTTTTTTTTCTTCTTTCTTAACTAGTAACCGTGCCGCGTGCGTTGCACGGGGTCGCATTCAAAAGAGGAAGAAATTGATAATTTAGATAAACTACAATAAAAACTTCAATCGGAAATTTATAAAAAAATAATAAATATTAGTTGTGAATTTTAAATTATAGTTGTTTCACTTGTTCTATAAACTTAGTCACATGAGGTCCTATTATTATTATAAGCGTAGCATATATGTTTCATTCCTACAATAAATATATAAATTTCGAATGTCAATATATTAAAGGGGTAATGGCAAATAGGACCATGACAAGGGCACTTAATTAAAAGAGGGACATCCAACTTTTTTGTCTTTCAAATAAATCCACCCCATTCAAACTTATTTGCAAATAAGGAAAATCCCTTTATATATACCAAAATTACCCCCAATTCATTGAAACCCAATTCAACTCCAATTTCATGATTTACACCCCCAATTTAGCCTAATTTCATCAATTAACCAATTTTAACCCAAATTTCAATTTTGACCCCAATTTTAACCCTAATTCTTATCAATTCCACCAATTGTGCTCTAACTTCCTTAATATTTCACATTGACCCCGGATTTAAACAAATATATTACATTAACCCCCCAATTTTTTTTTTCACAAAATATATTTTTTTTTCTGAAATGTTTTTTTTCCGGCCAGATTCTCGCGTTGACTTTTTCTTTTTTTTTTTTTTTTTTTTTATAATTTTTTTTTTCTTAATTTTTTTTTAATTAATATTACTGTCTTGGCTGCTAAATTACTGTCTCCGGCAGTTATTTTAACTGCCGGAGACAGTAATTTAGCTGTTAATTGACTTTTTTTTTTCTTCAAAAATATTTTAATTAATATTTACTGTATTCGTTGCTAAATTACTGTCTCCAGCAGTTATTTAACTGTTGGAGACAGTGATTTAAATATTAATTGACTTTTTTATTCTTAAAAAAAATATTTTTAATTAATATTACTGTATTCGTTTGCTAAATTACAGTCTTCAGCAGTTATTTAACTGTCGGAGACAGTAATTTAACTGTTAATTGGCTTTTTTCATTTTTTTTCTTAAAAAAAAAATTTCAATTAATAGTACTGCCTTAGATGCTAAATTACTGTCTTCAACAGTAATTTAACTTTCTTAGACAATAATATTAATACTATTACTGTTCGGAAAAATAATATTCGTAATATTACTGTTCGGAAAAAATAATATTCATAATATTACTGTCCCAAACAGTAATATTACTGTCTGAGACAGTAATTTAGTAGCTAAAACAGTAATATTAATTAAAATATTTTT